AATTAATAAATAGGACCAACAAGCCCACAAATAGGTAGTCTTGCTCGGCCGTGATCCTGACCCCGCGCGTCTCTCGGTGTCAGTGTGTTAATGCTTTTACATTCGGATATTTATCCAGAAAGATTCTGATATACAGCGTGTCTTTACAACCGCGACAATAAATGAACACACATATAAAGGATAACTTTTTAAAATTGTAATAATAATAATCTATATTTTTATTTTTATTTATAAGCCCAACCAGACGAGAAAACAAATGAATATCCTCCCAATATAATAATAATCTTTATTTGCCATTAAACTGGGTGATTAAGAAGTTGATTTACAAAATTATTGACCTCCAAGTTCAGCCATAATATATGGCATGCAAATATTCGTTGTATTAAACATTTACATTATTTAAACATCAATACTTACCGAGTTATTAAATTTTCCAAAACAAACAATTTTTGAACACATTTTTTTTCTAAACAAACAATTTTTAAACTCGTATAAAACTGTAACATAAAGTTAATTTGTAAAGGTCACAGAGCATATGAATGAGTTGAATGAATTTAAAAGAGATAATACATACTGTTAGAAGGAGAGATTTGTAAGGCGACGCCTGTGGCAACGAATGAAAAAGTCTCTGAATGTATGAATCAGTCAGTTGTAGTTGTATAGGTGTTGCAAATTTCTTTTTTATAAATAAAAAAGAAATTTGCAACACCGAAAATTAGTTTGTTTGAAAAATATTTTTTTTAATCATGGATTTTTTTAACCTTAAATGAACACACTTCTAACGTGACTTGTCAATAATAAAAACTGGCTGACTCATACATTCAGTGACTTTATTATTCGTTGCCACAACGTCGCGTCAAACTTGAGTTATGGTCTTCGCATGAAGTAGAAGAAATGATCTGATTCCGAGAATTTAGGGCCCCATTGATCTTACGTAACCAGAACTTATCATAGCAGTTGCCCAACATGGGGTCGAAGTGTTATCTTCAAGTTATCGCGCACGTCCAAGTCTACGAGCGTATAACTGTGAAGGAATAGTCTTTTTCATGTAAGAAGGTGGTAACCTTTTAAAAAACCTTTCTATTTTATCTATCTATATTTACAAAAGAGAAGGTATGTGGTTTGATGACTCCGTGGCGCAGTTGCCAAGGTATTTGGCTTCGGTGTCGGGGGTTGTGGGTTCGATTCCCACACGGGACAACTATTTGTGCGAACCACAGATAGTTGTTTTACATCTGGGTGTTTGTCCACGTGAAGTTTACGTTACGCTAGCAGGACAGCGGCAATCAGTTGAAGTCAGGTGAACCGCCCGCTCGATTGGAGAGTTTTCACATAAAAAATAACAACGGAAATGTATATTTTTAATTATATATTTCTTTCTGTTTGGGGTTCCGTACACAAAGGGTAAAACGTCTGTGCGTCTATCACCATGATCCGTGATAATTGAAAGTTGAAATTTTCTTGTGCGTGGGTCCGACTCGCGCTTGGCCGGGATTTTTAAGTATTGCAAACTCTCCTGCTTCGTTCGCTCTGCAATACAACAAACAATCGACCAGATATCGTTGGTCTTTGGAACCTCTTGCAAATGTTTCAAACTGCAGACCAACTTGTTGCAAAACGTTCGTCACATGAATGAACTGATAAGCGTGCTTGTTGTAGGAAAATATGTGGATGTGGTTTATATAACGTTAATGTGATATTAATGTGTAATTCCAACGGAAATGCGATGATTTATTACCTCATATATGTACATGATACATGCGTTTCTTGGGTCACGGAAGTTATAATAATTCTAAACATAGTATACATAAGTTATTATAAATGCGAAAGCGCCTGTTAATTTGTCTAAGACATTTAATTGTGTATCTGTAACTGTGGTAGGGCCACGTGACAGTTTTCACTTTTGCTCGATGCACGACCTCACAGAAGAGTATTCTGCGTTTCGGCTGGTGAGTGAGGTAACTTGGGCCCACTTTATTAAAGGGTGGCAACGCATCTGCACCCATGCGGGTGTTGCAATTGTCGCGGCGGATTCTTTTCCGAACGAGCCTACCTATTCGTGCAACAGCCGAAGCTTGCTGCGTGGCCCTACCACAGGCAAGACGATTATTAGTTGAAGAAGTTTCCCTTTTTTTTTTTATTAGCTTAATTAAGTAAACCGACATTATGCATTATTAAGTGGACAAAGATAACAAACTGGCCTGTTAATCATATCGCGAAATGAAAGCTATTAACAGTTTGCGAGGTCGAAGTTATAGAAATCGGCGACAACTAACACGCACCTCCAGATAACGTAACTGATATATCACCTCGATTCTTTTATTTTCGGCCATCTGTATCATTTAAAGCGGTCGCCATCTCGCAATATATTCAACCGACTACAAAAAAGGAGGAGTTTCTAAATTCGACTGTACTTTTTTTATGTTTGTTACCTCAGAACTCTCGACTGATTCGAACCGGCAGAGTTTTTTTATTTGAAAGCTGGTGCCATGTGGTCCCATATTAGTTTCATTGGCATCGGATCTTGGCCTCCGGAGACACTTAAGGAACACTTGAAAATCAATCACAAAATGAATTCGGAGCCGAGACAATTGAAGATGGTTTTTTTTTGTCGCTCTTTAAAATGTACCATCGACACTTGGTGTTTGTAAACAGGTCGAACTTGATTGACCTGAAAAATATACGGGTAAAAAAAATGGCGACCATCGCAAAGCTGTTTTTTTTATAAATTACTCGAATACCTATAATTAGATTTGTGATGCTTATTACAAATCGTTTGTACAAGCTATAACGCTTTAAACACTTAAAATTCACAATATTAAGAAATAACAAAATGCTGAAATACAACAAAAACACTTTATTCGCTTCTGTTTTAAATCGAACCAATAAACAATTTCTCGGTTTGCCCACACTAATCATGCCTCTATCTACTAATTCTAATAGTGGCAGATTTTACTGCGACGATAGTGGTAGGGCCACTTAACAGCTTTTAGTGATGAAAACACGACTGTCTCAGAGATACAAAAACAAACTATAATTTGCATCCTAATCTCTTGACATTAGAAATAGTAAAAAAATGCAGCCGAATAACTCTTATAAAGTTGCTTATTCATCGTGATAATTTGAATAGAGACCATTAGCAATGACGTTATGCCTGGATGTTTGAAGGAGCTATGTTATTAGGGCAACAGTCTATCTATACTCATAGTATAAATGCGATAGTGTTTGTTTGTTCGTCCTTCTCACACTTCGCAATGGTAATAATATAATGGATGTTGTAGTAAGTGTGTGGATTATATATATTAGGAGGCTGTATAGTGACATACGAAACTTTTTACCGCGATAAAAGTCCTCACTCCCATGGGAAGATTCATTCTGATGCGTATTTGAATCTCTTAAAGCGATAATGTGTTGGCCCTTCCTTAACTTCGTAATTGTTTTTTTTTTTTTTTCAATGTTTTTTGTACACATTTTTAAGCAACGTTCTCTATTATCGAAAGAAAATCATTCCGTGACCTTATAACTTCATAAGGACGATGTGGTATGCAGTGAATACAATTTTCAATACGATTTTTGTCTACGTTTGATCATCATGCCACTATAACGCATACTTCAAGTCGTAAGGTGTCAGAAAAGCGTTGTCCAACACATCACCCAAGCTCGTCCCATACATTAGATTTGTGTGGGCTACAGGGTTGCTACGCCATACATAAAAAAGCTATGCCAACCGTAAATTGTTACGGCTATCGTTGGCAGACATTTAAAAATCAACCAGTAGTATTTATAGTTTGAACGAGGTACTTATATTCAGAGAATAAATAACTTAACAGAAGCTTCCACCGCCCGCAACAATGTTGCAGTAATATCATGACGGACGTCTGTAATGAATTACAGGAATAATTAACTTTAACGCCAGTCGTAAGTTCCCGATAAGAGATGTCATACACATTCATATGGAAACAGAACACTGCATCTATTCATCTCTGTTCAAAGGTAACGATGGCTCTTATTAATCTCAAGTCCCGATAGGAATACTATTTATTGTATCCGTTTATTTCTTCATCATATAACCGACAATACGACATTGACTTAAATTATATTAATAATACATAAAATTTCGTTTATTATTGACTAAGTCCAACTTTTAAACAGTGAAAACGTACTGATAATTTTTCAAATTAATATAACAAGATTTAAATTAAATTAGTAGTGATAATAAAACCGAGAAAATAATAGCTTAAATATTTTGAGAGTAGGACATATATTGTTTTTTTTTTGTTTTTACGCGACTATGACGAGCCGAGTGAGCAAGCCAATTGGCAATTCAATAAATACATAATTTATTACTATCCGCGTAGAATTTAAGATAAAAAAATCTGGAATAAAACTAGCCTAAGTTAGCCTTATTATCTGCCAGTGAAAGTCCCATCCAAATCGATTCAGCCGTTCAGAGATTAGCCGGAACAAACAGACAGACAGACAAAAATTGAAAGAAATGTTATTTTGGTATATGTACCGTGTATACGTCCATACGCATTCAGTAAAAAGCGGTTATTTTAATATTACAAACAGAAATAAAATTAAAATATTGCATAGTTATTCAGCACTAACTATGTCAAAAAGAGACGAGAGTTTCTACCATTTCAAAAACTAATGAGACCTTTCGAACCGATCCATCGACAAATCCTCTGCAGATGAGACAGACTGACCAAGAACTTCCATTGTTACAGATAGTAAAAAGCAGCTCTGCGCACCACAAACAAGACGGCCTCCCTCGACCTGTACTGTCTACTCATTCGACGCCGGAGAAAAAAAAAACCGCTTAGCTCGTAAATAGTCCGTACGACTTTAAACTGCCTGTGATATTATTTAACCGTTTAATTTATACGGGGGGGGGCGGATTTTTGAAATTCGAACGCCCACCCCGCGTTTCTGAGGTGCGGCTGGGTGATTTGGCGGGAAATCTGTTGGGCTTGTGCAATATAGTCTGCGGCCTGAGTATGAGGGACAACGGACCCTGCCAGCACACGCTGTCAGACGACGTGATCTACAAAGACGTTGTTGTCATCGGTAAGTGACTTCGGCATGCGTTCTCTGTGGTAGGGCCACAATTAGCAGAAGACCGGCTTGCAGTGCGGCTTGTGTAAATGTTGCCTTTCGTCTGGTGAGCGAGGCACAAACCTGGCCCTCTTTTAAAAGGTGGCAGTGCGCGCCACCCTACGGGCGTTGCAGATGTCCAAGATGGTCATCACTTAGGCAAGTGAACCGCCAGCTAACTTGCCACCTGCTTTTAAAAATACTAACTCTAACACCCTACTTCAACATAATATATTTCTCATAGATTCATACAATTGTCTTCCAGATTAGTATTATTCAGTATTATTTCACTTCGCTTTTAACCCCTAACCCATAACCGTTATTGTTCAGCAAGCTTATAATGATGCGAAAAATGGGACGGGTGACAAACCGTCATAAGCGAAAAAGCGCAATTAATGGGTTCTCGTGGGTCTTCAACTAGCGACCCCAGACAAGCGCAAGTCTTCTTTCGTCTTTCCCCAGCCGTTATCACTTTGTGGGGTAGGCATAACATGTGAATCGTGTTATTATTTGGCTAGGTTCCTTGTCTGTTTGACCAGTCAAACAGACATAGTGCCTCCTCTGGAATAAACACCTAGATCTAAATCTGCGGGCCGCAGGAATACTTGTCCTGTGTCAATCCAACCCACGACCCCCGCTGCCCAAGCCTTAGCTACTGCGCCACCACCAGCTCAGGACGCTAGCATAATTTGCAAACACTAGTCCATCTCTGCCTAAGGCTTACTTAATAGGATCTTATATAAAATACGTATAATTCATCTCATTCGGCGTTTTCATCATTACTTTTATATTTTTCTTAACAATTTTCATAAACAGATCTAGGAAAGAAGGTTATTTTTTCCCCCATTTAGAGCTGACCTTTGCGGTCGAGCACTCCGAGTCAATTGCAGTCTCCTCGCCAGACGGTCTTAATTGCGAACCTCGTTCAGACAACTCATCTGGAACGTCCCGGATATTTATATCTACACTAGCGGACCCGACAGACTTTGTCCTGTACATGCGACTTAAATTCGACAGCATGGAAATAAAAAAAATTGTAGTGGACCGAATTGTGACTCTAAACCATTCTCGAATAGACCTGAAGACACACAAAAAATTTCATTAAAATCGGTCCAGCCGTTTAGGAGGAGTTCAGTGGCATATACACGTACAGAACAATTATATATATGAAGATAGCTATCGCGTGCGGTTCTCTAGTCATGATCGGAAGCCTATAAACATTACTTCCAGTAATCTATGCTCTTGCTGGGAGAGGATATTCTGCTAGCAACTTATCAAAAGATAACGTTTATCGATTAACATTAATAAGTGTATTGTTATCTTTATAAACCACTTTTACAACCAACTTCAAGAAAGTGAGGAGAAGATCTAGAAAGAACTCGATAAAAACCCTTACGGTAATTAATACAGTTCTGATTTATGTTTAGTTTCAATTCTCTAATTAAATCGGACAATTGATTTAAAATTAATAACAAAATCTATATCGAGACAACAAACTAGGATTCGCATGGATAACTGAGCATATATGTATGTTTTCATATTTTTTCGATTTTTGATGGATTTTGGTTGACTATAATACTCTGCACAATACCTTATCAAATTCCATTCAGCAGTTGTAGACTTATTCGCGTTTAGACAGACGCGGCAGAGGGGGACTTTATTTTATAATTTGTTGTAAATTTAGTAAACTTTCAGTTCCAATCTATAAACAATTTGTAGAAGTAAAATGTCTTAGAATGAGGTATTGATGTCTCATTAATATTGTATATATTTTAAGGGTAAGATTCCGGAAAAGCAGTAAGAGATCAACTACTGTCCTCAAGTAACCTTACGAGTAGATATAATCGAAATCCTTTTTACACGATGTGACACAACCTCAACTTCAGACGATTTTGTGCGGCCGTGGTACTTCCTCGGTAGATCGTAAACTCGTTTCGACAATGATAGATAACGATGATAGAGGATGATTACAGGCAACGGTCCCAGCGGCTTAGTGACTTCATTCATGCTCGCAGGCAATGTGCCGTATCTGAAGAAGGAGATTCCCGAAGACTTACCAATTGACGAGATGCTCAGAGCCAGGTGAGAAAGACGATATTCGATATGAATTTTTACTAACTCAGTATTTATTACGTCATGTATACTTTACAGATTATTAACATTTGTAATAAATGTCTTTTTGTTATCGCTATCGTTCAAAATTCATCTCTTTAAATGTTGTCGCCATTAATGAGTAAGATTGGCGAAGTCAGTATTTTACTTAAGATCAAAAGTACTTTTTAAGTTACCTTATTATTTTGTGGTTAAAGGTACCTTTTTATTTTGTGGCGTGAAGCAAAGCGATTCGGTATCAATTAAATAATCTATAACAATTCTTACGTTTGCAGACTATCAAACCTGCCACCAGGACAGAACCTACTGGAAACCGACCTCATGGAGCTCGCTGAAGGCCTGGAAGGCAGGAGTCACAACCCGATACCTTTGCTGGTACGTTAAAAACTAAGTAAATAAAGTTCGATTGAACATCAGCTTGTTTAAAGCTCTTTAGAATAAATCTACCATTAGGTTCACAAGCTCTGTCCAGTGAAAATTAAGACACCAGCAAACCGACTTGTTGACCAATGATCTTTTATGCCGAAGAATTGTACTACTTATCAATCCTATGGGAAAGATATATCATCATGAAACTAAAAAAAAAAAACAGAAGACAACCTCACTCTTCTATCAGAACCCTACATTGCTTTGTACAAAGAAAAAGGATGAGAACTTATATACTTTTTTAGATCTTTTATTTTATTAGAAATTTTATCCCCAAACAAAGATTAAAACTATTTGTTTGTGAAAAAGACATTGATAACGGTTATATCTTGGAATTATAGGTAAATCTCAAAAAGTTGTTATTGTTTGCCATAGTAATACCATACTGTCGACTTCATCATATCGCTTATTGGGGTCGATGTGCGCGCACATCGTAAAAATTATACTCTCATAATTTCTTCCAAACGCGATAAAAGAAGTATAATTTCAAAAAACACGTGTATCTAAATAAAAAACGGCCAAGTGTGAGTCGGACTCGCGCGCAAATGGTTCCCGACTCTTATCTATAAAAACGACAAAAAAATCATATTTGTTGTATGGGAGGCCCCAATTAAATATTTTTATTCTGTTTTGATTATCTTTTGTTATAGCGGTAACAGAAATACAGCATCTGTGACAATTTCAACTGCCTTACTATCGCGGTTCACGAGATACAGCCTGTAACAGACGGACAGACGTCCCGTTTTTCCCTTTGGGTACGGATCCCTAAAAAAGAGAGCCAAGGCGTGTTCACATTTATAGCACAGATACTTTATGTAGGAACTGACACATTTGGCCCTACATCCCGCGAGCCTTTGCTAAAACTATTAGTATATATCTCGTTACGCGTAATGTCATTACAACTTCTTTCAAGTCTTCCTCACGTGCGGGCGAATGCAAGCTTACGCTCCGTTAGTATCAGGCTGGAACCAATCATTTAATCTCCTAAACCTATTTCCAAAACATAAGTACTTACTCACACACAGATTTCTGTCACCTGGCACATATATTTATGCCGTTCTTTAACATTATATCACCTTCCGATAGTATGGTGATGATGAACTGGTGATGGAAAATCACTTACACTATTTGAATCCGATTCGTGTCTTTTGTAGCTTATGTAGTGATCTCTTCTAGTTTTGCAACTGCATCAATATACAATATTGTTTTCTCGCCTTTAAAGACGCCAGATTTTATGCAAGCTCCCATTTTGTCTTTAACCTTTCTAATGGGTCATTTTCATTTAATACTTCCATTGTTTTACGTAGTTACAACTAGTATTCGACTGGCAATTTTTGGTCACTGCTCAGAATTTCAATGACGAACGCGCATGAGTTATCAGTTTTTCACTCTCAAGTTACATGCAAGTCACTGACCCACATTTATTAACCGTATAATGCCTACGTGTAAAGGTGTTCTCTAAATAAGCCAAGGAAGAAACAGGTTTCCGAATACTGTTGCTAAATTTGCGAGGACTTTATCCTTGTCGCGATAATAACGGTCCTAACGAAAATAAATCGTTTAATTGCGCGTCATCGTCTTCGGCCTTGTAGTATTGTATTCAAATTTTATATCAGTGATATCACGCTTACGACTTACCTATGATGACCAAAGAGAAATTTTACGCTAGGAAAAGTTGTTACATGTAGAAATCGATTGTCTCTTCGTTATTCACTATCGTGCTTCAAGGTCTATCTAGTCATTGAGTCCGAAGTTCATCGTCGTTATTTACATGTGCAGGTTTTACAAGTTGATTCCCTTGTAACGCGTCAACGGTATAAAGAATTTGAATGAAATTCGGGATGCAGATTACTTTCACGCTGCAAGAATACGGGGGATAGTTTGTATCCGAAACAACGTTAAGTTACTACCAACCGTCGACATCTAAAACACCTGAGGGTTTGATGTTGCCAGCCTTCAAACAGTGAGCCATGGTTACATTACTCGCTTATATTCAAATGGAGCTAGCTGGAGAAAGCTTATATTCAAATAGACGTACCTTACTCACTTGATGCTGATCTTCGGTAATTGGTGAAAGCAAACATTCAAAAGGATACTTAAATAACACGTCAATTTGAGTTATAAATTTGATTTAAAGTAACACAGTATTTTCTTTTATGTGAGAAGTCGTCAAGCGCGCAGGCTTTTCTACTAATTTTCAGTGAATACCGCCGCCCTCCTTAAAATACCTGAGGGCTTTGACTACCTTTTAAAAACCAAGGCCGTGGGTTCTGGCTAGCCCACCGGTTCTGCGTCCGATGAAGCTTTAATAGTCTCGGGACTGAAAGCAAAAACATCAGTTAATACAAGATACTAGACTACTTTTTAAAGAAGTGGGTTCTAGTGACCTTACTAGGATGAAACCCGAGACTATTTTTTTCTGTGAGAAGGTGCTAGCGAGCTGGTGCTCACCTAATGTTAAGTGATAACCGCCCATGGGCATTTAATGAATGCAATGAAGTTACGATGTTCAAGGTAATATTTAGATTTCCCTGCATCACTTTCTAGATGGACAATCTGCTGCGACCCTGCGCGGATTTGGGACTACACGCCGACTCCCTGATAGAATGGAAGTACGACGTTGAGAAACAGGTGGGTAGATGCTGGTGCCTCTAATTTCACTCCAAGCCGAGGGCCGAATTATCAGTCTCTGTTAAAGGGAACTCATTATGAAAACGGTGGGAGACTTAAAAAAATGACTATCGATAGATGAAATGTATGGTTTCGATGAATAAATTTAGACAATGTAGAAAAGACCTTTATATCTTGTAGAAACTATTCGATATCTTACATTATAGGTGTATCACAAAAGTTCTCCGTAAGAGGTCTATTAATTAAAATGAAACGATACTTTACGGCAGCCACATTTAACTGTTCGGGTAGTTTGTATTGAACATTCTGTTGTATCTTGCAATTAAACACTCCAATTTATTAATTGTGTTTTATTTAGAGGACACATCCAAAAAAGAGACCATATCTGTTACGCCATCTTGGGAAGAAAGAGAGAGAACATCCGAGAAAATTAGACAGATCAGGGTTACCATACTCTCCCCACCTTAATCAGGCACCCCGATCTCTTATTGCCTTAATGCCATACATACAATTATGCTGTTCAGGGTTACCACACATTTCAGTTACTTTACAGTTTACAGCTGCTGCCATCATAATTTGGGTTTGACTTCGGCCAGGCCCATAAGAGTGTAATTTGGCGACTTTTTTAAAAGTTGCCAAGCGAGCAGACGGTTCACCTGATGTTAAGGCAACACCGCTGACGAAGATCCGTCTTCTGGTCTTCTCCCAGGACTAGTCTGCCAACAGCAGAAGCGGCTGAGAAACCAAATCGCTTGGTTGTCCGGATGCTTGGACGATCTTGTCTTATTTTGGTTTATTTTTTGTTAAAAACATTTCCCTTACTGTGGGACAACATTATCCTGTGATTTAAGGCGTTTTACATATTCTTAAAAACAGAAACGATAATCGATTTGTTAAAAGAATTTAGTGGCCAGTAAGCCAAACTACGTAGAGTTTAATTACAGTTCTAAGCAACCGAAACGATCGTTATTACTTCGGGTAGAGGTTTCGCGGCAACGGCTGACGAGAAAGTCCCCCGAACTCCGCGAGCGCGGTTCCTTTTATAGACCGTTGTTGTGTGCTACTACCCTCCTCTCTTCAACAATATATAAATTTCACGTGGACGCAAAAGCCAATACCTTAGCTTGATGACTCCGTGGCGCAGTTGCCAAGGTATTGGCTTCGGGGGTCGTGGGTTCGATCCCCACACGGGACAACTGTTTGTGTGACCCACAGATAGTTGTTTCGCATCTGGGTGTTCGTCCGCGCGAAATTTATGTTTGTAAGAACGTCCTTACAACACAGGATAATGTTAACCTAAAGTAAGGGTAATGTCTTTTAAAAAAAACATTTACGGAGTCATCACATTGGTACGGGCCCGTGCAGATAGAGCACGTGGTGCTGGGCAGGGGCCAGCCGGGCGGCTCCTGGCACACCTTCCCAGCAGACCTGCTCACCCTGTCCCCTGCGGGCTGGCTGGCGCTGCCGCCCCACAGGTCTGCGGCGAGGAATCCCCACGCGCGGCTCCCAGCCCGTGCACTGGCCAGCTACTGCCGGCGCTACGTGCGCCTTTGCAACCTGCAGGTGAGCACCCCCCTCCCCCATAACCTCCCAGGTCTTAAGGGTTCCTGTAAACCGCACTCGGTGCTACGTGCGCCTTTGCAACCTGTAGGTGAGCGCCCTCCTCACCAGGGCTAGATTTAGAGTCAAGATCTCGCGGCAACAAAGGAGCGGAGGCCCCTTGGCCCCAAATTATGTTCTATTGATTTCTGTTAATATTTAATGTAAAATGTTTGTACAGAATACTGCAGGTAAAAGTAAAACGCGAAAAAAATATGAAATGAAAAGTTGTTTACTATTGTTTATTAATGAATGTCTGAATTTCAAATTTTTTTCCGGTCTCCATTTTGGGGGCCCCGGGGCTGTTGCCCCTGTTGCCCTCCCCTAAATCCGGCCCAGCCCCACCCCCATAACCTACTAGGTCTTAGGAGTTCCTGTAACTTGTCCTCGGTGCTGTGTTAGATGAAAGCATGTGACTGGATGTGTTTGATGAAAATTATGCAAGAAACTGTTGATTTAAATCTCCAATGAATAAATCCTGTTACAACAGTAAATCAATATTATAAATAATAATAATAATAAAATATTCGTAAACGTAAGCTTCAGCAGTGAATATAATAGTTACTTATTTTTCTTAAATAATAATTAGCAAATACGACGCGATGCGAATTTCGAATATCTTGAAGTGTTTTCGAATTGTTCGTAAAGAGATAATTTTGGTTTGAATTCAAGAGGGCGAAGACGATGCCACGTAGCACCTTCATTTTCTTCATCATCGTCACGATCCCCAACTAGTTTATCCCAGTATTACTTCCTGTCCGAATTTTCATGTCTATTTAACCCAGTACGCGTATCTTGTTACACTAAGCCTAGTGGGATGAGTTTTACGAAAAGTTGAAAATTTCGTAAAACAAAAAATCGACCGAGTACCGAGTTCCGTTACGCAAAGCGGTAAAGTCTCTGTTCTGTCTGTTCCCGCAGCGGTTCTTCAGGTCGGGCGTGATAGTGACCAGCCTGACGGTGGCGCCCAGGGCTCCGGGCCCGCCCTGCGCCAGCCGGGGCTGCCCCCGCGCAGCTGCCTTCAACGTGTCCGGGTAAGTCCCCGATCGTACTAGTAACTAGTCCAATATACGAATCGGCGATGCCTGTTCTGAGATAGTCTCGATTATAGCATTCATTTAAAACTCGTAAAAAGCTTTTTGTATTCGTAAGACTTTACTATTTTTTTCTGCTTACAGAACCCACTCACACGCTCAAAAACTTTATATAAATATCTTCGATATTTATATAAAGTTTTTGAATTTTTATAACATTTTAAAAGATTTTTATATTTATATATTATCAAGTTTTAAAAGATTTTGATTTTTATATTTATATATTTTTATATTTATATAATATCGAAGATATTTATATAAAGTTTATATATTTTTTATTATATATAAAGTTTATATAGTTTTTGAATTTAATTCTATTTTTTCGTTAATTTTTTTATTTTCATTTCAAAATATGCAACATAACTAATATCGTTCCGTTTTTGAGCACAATATGAATAATAATAGAAGGCTCGTGTGCGGGATTTTTTACGGGATTTGTCCAACATGACGAATTGAAGTGAAAGCAAAAGTAAGTCTTGCCAATAAAAAATCACATTCGCAGTTTGAAATTTGTAGACAATAATTAAAACCACCGTCCTGCGGGATACGCGCAGAACACTGTAGTCACTGAGCTGTGTCTAGTTAGCTAGTTGGTATGAGTCTCTTTGTTCAGATTACGCCATTTACATGCGCCATTTGCTGTTGACACCAGGTCTGTGGGGATCTTGGTGGTGGTCTCTTGGTCGTCGAGTCATCTGTGGCGCCGTTGCCAAGCTAATGGCTCCGACGTCGGGGGTCGTGGGTTCGATTCCCACACGGGATAAGAATTTGGGTGTTCGTTTCCCAAGGACGGTTGACGTCAGGCAGGCGGCCGGCCGTAAAAGACGTAAAAGCCAAAACCGCTTAAAACATTATTCACGTGTTATTTCGGGGGGATAAGAGCAGCAAGATGATGGTTGTTGACATTGGGCTAGCTGAATCAATTTTTTTTTTATGCGAAAAGTTGTCAAACGCGCAGACGGTTCACCTGATGTTAAGTGAATACCGCCGCCCATGGACATCTGCTACGCCCGAGGGTTACAGATGCGTTGACAACCTTTTGAAAATTGGGCTCCGGCCACCTCACTCACCAGACGATACGCGAAAGTATTTGTCATACTTCCACTTTACGCTGGTCTTTTGTGAGGTTGTGGTACTTACCCGGACGGGCTTGCCCATTCGTGAAACAGCCGAGGCTACTGCGTGGCCCTACCATCGTATCAATCAATGTCTTTTAAATTCGCGTGATCGTCCGTGACGTCCGCGAAGGTTGTAATCAGTGGCGGATTTGTAGTTTTGGCCGCCTTAGGCCTTAGGTCTATATAGTTAGTTCCAGCTGGCCCTTTCCCATCATATATCCTGTTATCATGAGTGAATTTTTTGTCACGATTTGCCGCCCCTAATATGTGGCGCCACCATAGGCCGTAGGCCCGGAGGCCTATTGGGCCTTAGAGCAAATCTGCCACTTGTTGTGAACTTTGGGCTAGCTGAATGCGAAGGTTGTAAACTTTGGGCTAGCCGAATTAATTCGCGCGATTTTAACAAGTAATCTTTCACGACGTCCGCTCAGGTACGACGACACTGTGAATCTCTAAATACGTGGTCCGTCCGCCCAGGTACGACACGCGGTCCGCGCGCCGCGTGCGCTACTCGTGCGCGCGCGTTGTGCTCGCGTGCGGCGCGGCGGACGCGCCCAACGCGCCCAGCGCCGCCGCCGCGCCGCACGCTCTGCGCGACCTGGCCGCGCTGCAGCGCCTGCCCACGCCCACGCCCGCGCCCCACTCCGCGCCCACGCCCACGCCCGCCGCGCTCGTCGTGGGCTCCGGCCTGAGCGCGGCCGACGCCGTGCTGGCGCTGCGCCCCTCGCGCCGCGTGCTGCACGTGCACAGGGCGCCGCCGCCCGCGCTCGCCCGCCTCCCGCCCGCCGCCTACCCGGACTACTGCCAGGTGGGCACTCGCCCCTCCTCATTTCAGCTTGTTAGAGTCCACTGCTGAACGCAGGGCTTGCCCACAGACTGCCCTGAGGCACGATGCTGAGCCAGAAGACAGTCGTCTTCCCTTGAAATAGTTCCGCTGTGGACGCGAACAACACTTCCTAAAGGAACCTGCAACACCTTCCTCGTTTTGATAGAAGTTGCGTCACCCATCTTCTCTTATACTAAGTCGCTCTCTGACGTAAACTTTAGAAGGTCACTCAAATATTTTAGTTCTGCTATGATTCTATCGATTATCTCCGTCCACTTGGCTTGTATGCACCTTTCTGAATGCACAACAGCACCTTCTTTAAAGAATTTCTAATAGAACAAGAAAATAAAAAAGCCATCTCCAGCCGAACTATAGCACAAACCCTCACAACGGACCACCCTGAACAGTTCTATCGTCTTCTTCACCAGTCGCCCCAAAAACCTGTCTGCAGGTCTACCGGATGATGTGCGACGGGCCCGCCGGCGGCCACCGCAACTACACGCCGTACCCGGACCACGTGATAGTGGATGTGACGCCCGTCCACGGCGGCAGAGAAGACCAAGAGACCGACGAGAAGCTCCGCCTCAAAAGGGTCACACTCCTCGACCCGGCTAACAACCGCACCGTGGAAGTGACCGTCTCCCTCATACTGGTGCTCATCGGCTCCAGGCCCGACCTGTTCTTCCTGCAGACCAACTTCGGCCTGGAGGGGGGCGACTGCAGATGCGAGGCGGAGCGCAGGAGCAAATCGCGGTGCTACATCAAGGACCGCTGGCAACGGCTGAAGTCGGCCTTCGGGCAGGCGCAGACCAGGTCCACATACCTGGAGGAGGGACTGCAGAGCAAGTCCAAGTATTTGACGGAGGAGAAAGAGCCATACAGCGAGTCCAAAAGTCTGGGGGAGTCGGAGTCCGGGACTCCGGGAAGGGAGGCCTACACCAGATACCTCGAGGACGGGCTGCAGAGCGAGTCGCTGCAGAGCGAGTCCAAAAGCCTGGGCGACGGGCGGCAGAGCAGCGATAGTGGGGGGGAGGCGCAGGAGTGCGCCTACGCGGGCTCGTCCGGCGGGCTGGGCTTCGGCGTGGACCCCTCGCGGCCGGTGGACGGGCGCGCCAACCCCGTGGCGGTGGCCGCGGCCAGCCACGAGCTGCTGCGCGCGCCCGGCCTCTACGCGCTCGGCCCCCTCGCCGGGGACAACTTCATCCGCTTCATCCCGGGCGGCGCGCTCGCCCTCGCCGCCCACCTGCACCGCCAGCTCAAGCCGCAGCCCCACCACTGACGGCAATAAACTGTCTTTTGTACCGCATCCAACGCGTTTCATTTCGACCACACCCGCCCGCGTGACGATGGCTTCGGCGTCAATAAAATATTTTTTGTACCACAACAACGCGTGTTTCATTTCACCAACCTGCCGTTTTTTTGTTATCGGGGAGAAATCTTCAATAGTCATCCCTCATGACAGGGTTATGTGGGGATCGTGCCCACTAAAACCCCTTCGGTGGCCAATTCTATACGTTCGGAGAGACTCCGGGATCTCCTACGTACTGACGTCCCGCGGTACTGCTCATGAGTACGCCGCGGGGAAGGGTGAACCTTCCCCGATCCCCTCACCATATTGCAACAGCACGAGGGCATTTCGCATTAATACTTCATCAACCTGCCTAGATCGACGTTAGACCTTCCAATACTTTCAGCAGTTGTAGAAACATAACATTGAACTACTTCGGTATTAGATTTTTCATCATATTATAACAACATAATACTAATAGGTTAATCGTACGGCTTTGTCCAAATTGAGTTGTCCTCGTTTCGGCCACTTATAAATTAAATATGCGATCGGATTAGTGTGTGCAGAAAATCCTTCTATGATTGAGAACTTCCTCAAAAGATATTTCGTGGATGGTTTCGTTAGTGGATTTAGGAGATACTTAATTGAATTAAAAAAAACTTTTTATAGTTACAGTAATTAACAACACGTTGAAAAATGTTATAATAGCTCGGGCGGCCCCAAAACAGACGGCCGCGGTTCGTATCACGATCAATTACACACTTATTTTATTTACTTTTTTTCTATACCAGATCATTTTCTTTATTTTTTTTATTTCCAAAAAACGTGACTTACCAAAAAAAACTCCTCCAGGTACTACATAATTATATTCAAAATTACTAATATTACATGTCAAAACTTAGAATTTAGAATAATAATATTTGACATAAGGCAAAGAGTACTTTTATATATCAGAAATATTATTACATATGACATAAGGGTGCTTCCCGCCTTTATTTTTTACTTTTTAATTTTTTATTATTTTCACATGCTTTCCTGCCTGTATCTGTTATCCGTTCCAAATTCTTCAGAATAACAATACTCACAAGAGAAAATTCGAATTGTTTTTATTTCATAAATGTTCTGAAAAAGTTTGATCAATTAAAAAAAAATAGTGTCACTTAATATTTCCACTCAAAAGTTTAGAATAGGGATAGGGTATCCCCTGCATATCGTAAAAGGATACACTGGGTTCGTTGACGATCGATTTGGTTCAGGTCATCTCTTGAAGTAAACTCGACAAGGGTCGAGGGTCGACAACAGGTCGAAAGGGGAGACAATGGATCGACGACTCTCGTGTTGCCCGCAAAGTAGCGAGGGAAATGGAGAACGTATATTCTTTCCCAAACATGTAGACCAAGAGACAACGTATTTTTCCAGCATTTCCCATATTAAATTAAAATACGTATTAAATTATATCGACATTATTTTTTACATTTATTAAATTATGTCACTTATATTCTTTTTGATGATTATTCATATTTACATTCAGAATTAGTTTTATAGACAAATTAGCATTTCCCATTTAAGGTGAATCCTCTTTAGCGACTCAATTAGAGTAGATGTAACTAATGTGTGGTTAGCGCGGTTTTACTTATAGGTCTTATATAATATAAATCGGCAAATTCCAATAGTATTCAATTATTTGCTAATTCGATTGTTCGTAATTGTAGTAGTTTATTGTAGTACATTGACCGTTTTTTGTATTTGACCTAAACCTAGCCCTTGATATACATAATAGTATTTGCCCCCCGCCAAAATAACACTACACAATCAGTTAGTGCATCAACAAACACCATAGTTCGTCCTCGCCTTCGAGCACGGCGAAACCAACACAACGCGTACACTAGGCACACCCGCGTTCCAGGGCGGTTCTCACCGCCCCCAGCCACTGAACAAGCACAGTCAACGTCCATCGGGATCACGGTCCGCACCGAACCTCGATGGCCCTGAGGCGATGCCATAATTAACGCACGCATGAGTACATGCGCGGCCCCACCCACTGAGGGCCTCAAACCCGTGGGTTCCGGCCAGCCCACCAGTTCTGCGCTCGATGAAGCTTTAATAGTCTATGGACTGAAAGCGTAACATCAGTTATACAAAAACAAAACAGTATTTGCCCCTTTTTTTGCAATCAATCTTTAGTTATCGTTTGTCCGATACAAAAATAACTTTTGTTCGATCGTACTTTACTCACAAATAATTGGGTTGGGACCTTTTTTTTTTTGTGACAAAGTGACAAACGAGCTGGCGATTCACCTGATGTTAAGTGATAACCGCCTTCCGTGGACATTTGCAACACCCGTAGGGTAGGAAATGCGTTACCACCTTTTAATACAGTGGGCCCCGGCTACCTCACTCACCAGAAAAAACGCAAAAGTGTAACACTTCTACTTTACGCCGGTGTTCTGTGAGGTAGTGGTACTAACTCGAACTGACCTGCCCATTCCCCATCCGTGCAACAGCGATCCGTGCAACTGTAGCGTGGCCCTACCACAGATAATTCTCCGTTCAGCCTATTTATTATTAGAGGTTACATTGTAAAAATAGAATTTTAATCAAGTTTACTTTTAATATATGTATGATTGATTCTTAGTACGGCAAGTCAACGCGTCAAGATTTCAGATGCAGGAAAAAGCAAGTTCTTCCAGAAAACCACCGTTAGTTGTACACTCGCATCAACTGTTTTCAGCGTTACCTAGTAGTATTCACACATGACATGTATAAGTTAATGTTTTTTTCTGAAAATATTGAGGATTTCATAAAAGTATTTGATTTTTAGAAGCAATCAAATAATAGGATATAGGATCAAAGATAAAACACAAAGGTATATTTTCTTAAAATTGCAACATTTTGTGAGCTGACTTTAGTGCGAGCCTGCCTATTCCAGCAACAGTAGGAGCTGCTGCATGGCCCTATCACATTCTATGTATACAAGCTTTGAATATACACTCGCACAATAATATACTGAAATGACTAAGGAATCTTTGAATTAAATAAACACATTAAATATTAGATAGATAAATGTCTTTATTAGCAGATATTACCATATTGTAAAGTCAGATTTGTACAACACACAGCCTTTCGATCCTTATAGAATCCATTCATAGATTAGAATCTTTAGCACCATTTATGGGTCCATAATCTCACCAACTGTTAGCTTTTTATTCATGTACTTTGTAAGTAAATCAGTCGCAAGCAGAACACGTAAATACATTGAGAGGCATTCTTTAATGGAGATACTTCACATTTAAGACCTTTTTGTTTTACTGTAAAATTTAAAATCAATACTAACATCAAATGCACCATGACGAATACAAACTGATGTTTAAAAAGTATGACATGCAGCTTTTACTTACAATATTATTGACAATATGAAGCTGAAAACGATACATTTATAATAACACTCATACACATTAATGACAATTTACATTATTTTTTTCTTATGGCACATTTTTTTCTAATGACAAAACAACTATGTTTGAATATTTCAATTTCAACACATTTTCACACATAAAGTTCTAAAAATATTACTGTTGAACAATGGATTACAAAAATAGATTTTTTTTAAATAAAACTATTATTAAAAGAAAGTATTAAAAGCACAAATCAATATAAATGTTGATGAAATTATTACAAAAAATAAGTGTTAATCAGAGCCCATTTCGCTATACATATATAGCTTTCAGATCCTATATTACCACTAAATATATTTTATATATATTGACTGTTGTCCACACAGTTACAATTTTTAATACTTATGTAAAATCTATAAGTGTTAAACCTATATGTTAAAGTGTAATGATAATTTCATAATCCGCACAACACTTCTTTAAATGGAGCGAAGAGCAAAGTACAAGGACAGTGGGTCATAATGTTTCAACAGCTGCTGCAATAATAAGTGATAAGCAACATAGTAAAATAAATTGAAAATTTACTTTGAAAGTCAACATCCTATAACATAAATGATAATAATGGAAGTAATTTTCAGATCATAAATCTATATTAAACTATAATAAAAGTTATAAAGAAAAAAAGTGATACCTTAATATTAATTAAATAAAACTAAAATTATTTGTAAATCTTTGATTCTGCATATGATTCTATCAGCTTATAATATAATTATCAATAAAAAGAGCTTTATTTTATATTGTCATAGATTGAATTGGGCATATGTAAATGGATCCTTGAAAAGTAAAGAAAACAATGATTCTTAGAGATAATGTATTTTTTTTAAATAAACTTAGTAAAAAGCTCAGACTTATAAGTACATACATTTGGCATCAATTGATAATAGATCCAATTCATCAGTTTAGGCTCAACTTTACACGTATTAAATGCATCTCACTATCACAGTTTTATAAGGTATAAAGAAAAAGTTTCCTCAAACCGTTTAGAAACCAAACATTGAGTAGATGGGTGAAAAGTCTGCGAAATAAAAGAAGGCAACAAACAGAATGAAATAAAATATGACCATTACTACAGTTAAAAACAAGAAGATGACCTGTTGTCAAGTACTCAACTCTAAGGGTGGCTCCTGACGGAATATTTCTACCATAACTTCGAGCTCCTCCGCGAGCACTCGCGGCAGTCCTAAGGACTCCAATTCGCAAGAGTCAGACAAATGTTGTGCCAAATATAACAGAGCTGTTTTGCGGAGTGTTCTAACGCTGACAGTTATGTTCCAATTCGTCCTATACATCATGCCACCGATGTTGTTCGGCGGCCTATATATAGGCTTGTTGTTAATGACATACCTCTCTTTAGTCGTGACATCGGTGAACTCCCATGGATGAGTTATAAACGTGTCTACATCGAAACAAGTGCCCGGTCTCATTCGGGTGTAGTGGCGCTTCGCCCCATCAAAGTCCCGCCACCATACGTCAATCGGTCGGGAAGTCCTGTTAGTGAACCGGAGATAGGCGCGCTGAATAGACTCCGTTGACCTCACGAGTACCCGTTGACCTGTTTCATCTGCCTCGTATACTAAATCGTTCTCGCCCCTTTCGGGCATTATTATAATTCGAATAAAATTAGCGTATCCTCGGTTATATTTGCAGACTATTTCTTTATCTTAAAAAAATGGACTGATTTACAAGATCGATATGGTAAAAGTGTTTTGAGAAATCCCGCCACAAACAAAAAACTTGATTAAGTTGGCAGCACCATAGCACTTCCGCTGGCCTCCCGTACGCAATGGCTGTTTGTGTCGCTGTTATTGGAAAAGATGTAAGTTCTTCCAAATATTTTCTACGATATCCCGCCTCCACACTTGTCTTTTTTTAATATCTTCGTTTTAAAATGATAATCTTTTCCGAAATCTTTTAAATTGCTTTGAAAACAAACATTATCACAATCACTTACACACGTCAATTTTTACTTCGATCCACAGACTAAAAATATATGAAAAATTACTCTATATTAAAGGAAAATGTAAATTATTTCAGAATTCTCCATTATATATTGGCGGAGTCGGTAATGATACTAGTACCGATAATGAACTCTCTAGACAATGGCTCGTTCATACCGCCCTGGATGCTTTAGAAGAACGGTTAGCAACTTCTAATACAAACACGGCAAACTCGGTGTCAAATTCATCACGCACTGATTTGAGGGATCTGTACCTAGGAATGCTTTACTCTACAGATAGTCATAAAATGTAAGTTTTTTTTTTTGTGAATATCAATTTATATAATAAACGAAAGGGGCATAAACTCTGTTTATATCATTGATTTCAGATATGGTTATGTAACCAACACAAGGATCAAACTTGTTCTTGTTACAAGTTCCACGTCCCCTAGCGGTAGCAACATCAGAGATGCTGAAGTAAGAACTGCATTGCGAAGATTGCATGCTTTGTATGCTGACGCAATTTGCAATCCATTTCATTTGCCCGGGGATCAAATTAAATCAATGTGAGTTTTAAGTACACTACTACAGTAAAATTTTGTTTTTAACCGATTTCAAAATAGGAAGAGGTTCTCAATTCGACTGATTTTTTTTATCTTTGTTACCTCAGAACTTTCGACTGAGTAAACCGATTTTGATGATTCTTTTTTTATTTGAAAGCTGGTGCTTCCCGTGTGGTTCTTTATTAATTTCATTACTATTGTATCTTCGGCTCTGGAGATATTTAGAGAACTTCTGAAAATCAATTATAAAATGAATACAGAACTAAATGTTCGAAGTTGGTTTTGTTTTTCGTTAATAAAAAAATAGACTTGTATAAAATCAAGACACTGTATTCATCCCTTATTATCATTAGCAGTTAAAGTATTATTAGAATCGTTACATAAATACAGTTGCAAAAAAGTAAATATACAAACAATAAAATTATTTCCTGTATTCATGATTCGCTGCGATATGATTATTTTAATATGGATATTGTAAACGTATTGCTTACCGTCCATCGAAAGCATGACAATCTGCGAATATGGTCAATAAACCGCACTTACGCACCTATAACAAATAAAAAGAACTTAATCTATGTTGAATGGTGCTTAAACTAAGAAAGTAATCTCAAATATATATATTATCTTATTTAAATGTAATAGTTGAATTTTCAATTTGAGATATTTTATAACACAATATCTTGATGAACACAAAACTAAGTTTAGTTTGTTCATAATACTATATTTCCTTAAAATTTAAAAACGTTATACCGTTAATTTTCTTTACAGGAAGTTCGATAAACAAGTAAAGAACCTACTTCTGAATAATGTTTAGATTACATTATGTTTTTGTCACTATACAACTTCAAAAACATGTTGGCGAAATCCCATGAAAAATTCATTATATTTGCCGCGTGAGCTTAGAAAAATATTAGGAAAATATTTAGGAATTGTCACAATTTATAACAGTTAACATTCTGCTTTGTAATTAGAATGATTTGATTAAATTGATATCCAAAGTTTTTATTTATTATTATTTGTAACCTGAAATATTATATTATATGTAACCTGAAAAAATACACATGTTTAAGAACATTTATGTCTTTGAACGAATAAATCATTCCATAATTATTTGGTTGTTTTTGTACAATAATCGTTCTCTAATTGTTTCAGTCAAAACGTGGTAAAGCTAGCTCTGATTAACCCTTTACTATAATACAGGTCTCTACTACTATTGGTCAGATTTAATATATAAATAAAAATGTCAGTAAGGTAAATTATTTATTTTTAAACATCATGCACAAAACACAGTAAATAGGCGGACTTAATGCTGACAGCATTTTCTACCAGTTAGCCTTAGGGGGAAACTGAGAAGTTATGGTAGGTGCACAAACATATAAAAGAAAAGAAAAAAAATACATAACTATTAACTATAAATATATAATACAATTCTATTACGCAATAGCTTTACACGATAAATTAACTATAACTTTACATATATATGTATAAACTTTAATATACATATATACAGACATATATAAATAAACATATATATTAAATATACATATACACTGCTGGCAATTTCCCCAGAATAATTATCATTATTTAAATAATGTTGTTCATCACTTAAAATTCATTGATATAAACAATAATTGTAATACGTAACTTTAAAATTAACCCGAAAACCATTATCTGCAATGAAATATATAGCTTTTGCATTTTTGCTGGTGTATTGTTATAAACAACTAAATCTGTCATGTTTAAATTTTAACACGTTCCTAAAAAAGTTTAGGAAACTCTGCGGTGACATATGTATAAAAATATTAGATTTGCATTGTTTAAGAAGTAAAATATTTTAACTGGCAGCACTGATTCATAGATATTTCATAGGAAAAAAACGTTAGATAGACGAATCTATGAAAACATTACTTTTTTTACAGGGATGAGCAAGTAAAAAAAAATCGATATTTGAAAAAGTATCGATAATTATCGAGTGAAACATATCGATATATCAATATATAGTCAGTTTTCGCATGATTCACGTATATATTTACAAACCATTCAAAATTCATAGATAATAATGATAATAATAAAAATAGACATTAAGATATTTTCTTGAAAAGATTTTTTAAATTTAATGATGCGCGAGGAGCCGAGTAGCACGCAAAGAGAATCTAGTAACATTAAACACGAAACCAAAGTTGCTTATAAATATATCGAAATAAAGTATATTATTATTATATCGATACTTTCATGAAAAAATATCGATATTTTTTGTCCAAGTGCCCATTCCTAATCTTTTGTTTCTAGTTTCTTTTCTTTCTCTTTCTTTGATTTGACGTGAAAAGTCAAGCTGTTCTCCGGTTCAGCGCTGAGCAATTTTTATTGTGAAATTGTTTAACTCGACCGGGAAATCGCAAGAATATGGTAAATAATAACCAATATCTTCTCGTTGTTAATAGTTTTTCTTGCAGTAGTTACAGGAATGAAACTTCTCGCCATCGGATTTATAGGTTAAGTTGAACACGTGTATTCAACAAACTTGATGTCCTAAACAAATGAATTATTGGTTTAACTTTTAACCTGTTAATTAGTATTATACTTTTCAGTTATCAATTTAAGCACATTGTTGATTCACACATTCATATGAGCACAATCAAGCGATATTGTTGACAATTTCAGGCAGCCGCCGTTGTGTCGGGCAAGGATATCGAGAAACCTCAAGCCGAGATCTCGCCAATCCACCGCATCCGTATCACCCTCACCTCCCGTAACGTGCGATCCCTCGAGAAGGTCTGCGCTGATCTTATCAATGGCGCCAAAAAGCAGAAGTTGCGTGTAAAGGTATGTTCCACTTAAATTAATTCGTTCAGCTCTCAAAGTATTAATAACTTGACAGATACTTTATTTAGGAAATTTTAACGTCAAATGTAAGGAAATGGAAATTAACAAGTTTCGTGTAAAATTTGTAACAGGTGAAAATGAACGTTTTTTTTATTAGAACTAGGTTAAAAATCATGTGGGCATTTTTCTACAAATAACTCTTCTGTAACGGATGGTTTCTCAGACTTGAAATCATGGACACAAAGTTGATATCACTCTTGGGAATGAAACCCTAAATCATTTGACAAAGTAACCACAAAATCATTACTAAATTTCTGCTATAACCAGGGTTGATTATGAAATTAGGATAACAATAGCTGTTACTATCCTCAACTATATGGCAACTAGGTCTCAGCGCTAAGATGAAGACACTGCATGTCCATAATGCAGTGTTCACCACAGAAGCGCTATAGTGATGCTTTTCAAAGTGCAGTGTGCATGTTGCTGTATTGCATTCTGCTCATAGGATCGCAACATACGAAATTGACACAAAGAAACAATTTTTTGTTAATGGACTGTGGACTTCTTTTTGACCTCTAATGCCATTTTAAATCAGGAGACAATTCATGTGAAGCGAAGTTTCCATGTTTTATGATCCCTTTTGAGCATGTTATTTGGATTTGATTATAATTATTTATTTCCTCACATATAACATGATTCAAATAAGAATAGGACTGATCTCGCACTATCTTGGGGAATAATTGCTGTCAATTCAAACCAGTTAGGTAGGATGGCTAAAATTATGTATACTGCGTGTCGTTACCATCGCGACATTAAATGAACACACGTCTAACGCTACTTGCCAATAATCATAAAAAAATATTAACGTTAAACAAAATTCATTATTAAAAAAAAATATTTTTCAAACAAACTAATTAAAGAAACAAAATTTGTAACATCCTATACAACTCGCGCCACAGCGTCGCATTACAAGCCTCTCCTAACAGTATGTTTTGTCTCTTTTAAACTCTTTCAACCCATTCATATGCTTTGTGACCTTTACAAACGAACCTTACGTTACAGTTTTATACATAAGGGTATTCTAAAATTGTTTGTTTTGGAAAATTTAATAACTCGGTAAATATTGATGTTTAAAGAATGTAAATGTTTAATACAATTTTAAAAAGTTATCCTTTATATGTGTGTTCATTTATTGTTGTGGTGGTAACGACACGCTGTATAAAGAGTGAAGGAAAAAGTTTAATTTGGAATCTAGCACATCAATTCCACTCATTTCTATGCTAGTATGAGTAGTCATCATCGCAGTTGCTTTCCCCTATTAAATAAAACATTTATTTTTGTAGTTATTTAAAATATTCCACTGTTATTTTTTTGGAGTATATGTGTTTATAAAAAAAAAGTAAAGTAATTATCCACTTTAAATATTTCTCTTTTTATTCATTGTTGATTCATTCCACATTGTTAATTTCTTTATGCCAATCGCCACTGGTAATTTAGTAAATATGTTATAGAAAGAAAAAACGAAAGATTGAAAAAATTTTAGGAAGTGTGGAAAATTAAGTTTCTTTGCAGGCGTACTTTTTAAATTGAAAGTTAACAGATTGCAGACATTTGAGACCCTTGACATCTATTCTGATTTGAAACAAATTTTACTATACTACTACTGTAATATAGTATTTTAGGGAAGCTGAAATAAAAAATATTGTCCTGAACAAGTTAACATTATAAGACAATTTTCTTGTTGTTACACACATTTTGGGACTACTCTATCTATTAATAATAATATCAAAAATCTACTTTACAGGGCCCAGTCCGTATGCCAACCAAAATCCTTCGCATCACCACCCGTAAAACGCCGTGCGGTGAAGGTTCCAAGACCTGGGACCGCTTCCAGATGAGGATCCACAAGAGGGTCATTGACCTGCACTCGCCATCCGAGATTGTGAAGCAGATCACCTCCATCAACATCGAGCCCGGTGTAGAGGTCGAGGTCACAATCGCCGACGCGTAGGCACAGCTGTCTGAATAAAGTTACTTTCAGATATATGTTGTTTTTCTGTTGCCATTATTAATGATACTAACAACTATACATTCTCACATTTTAAACCGATAAGATAGAGCCATAATTAGATACAGTCCTTTTTTGTGTAACAAAATACATAATTTTCTAAGGTTTCGGATAAAAGATGATTACGCCTCTGTTAATTGACTTTGTGTGACTTGTAGTATTTGTTTTAATACTCTGATGCCCGGTTTCTGAAACACTGATCAACGGAGATGTTAATTAACTAGCTGACAGCTAATGGCTTTTCAAATGTCATTTGAGTTGCCAAAAAGATACTTAAATTCTTTGATCATACTGATATAAGAATATCGTTCTGGTCAATTCAGAGAGTTTTACCATCCTTACGAAACTAAAATGAAATTTGAAAAGCCATTTGACAGCTGATTAGTTGACATCTACGATGATCAATGTTTCAGAAACCGGGCGTGAGTATAAAAAGTTGCAGGCCGATTTAATTTGATTGATTATATTATAAAATTATTTGAGTCATTTTGATTACTGGCGATCCGCCACGGTTTCGCACTGGTGCAATGTATTATACATGTAAACCTTCCTCTTGAATCACTATCTAGTAAAATACAACGGCTTCAAGATACGACGTAGATTTAAACATCTAAGCACACATAGGGACAGACAGACAGCGGGACGAGTTTGTTTTGTATTATGTAGTGATATTATAAGACTTCCCTTAAAACCAAATTCAAACAGAATGTGTTCTGTCACTGTTTGGAAATAAGAAGACTTTCGACCGGTGATTATATAGGTATGCGTATCTATAACTTATCTGTGGTGTAAAATATCATTGACTACCAATGTAAAAAACGTTCACTCGTTTGGTAAATAGCAATGTAAAAAAGTTCTTGTGTCAAGTGTCACCAGTAGTTAAATTTTTGTATATTTTCTTTCGTTGCATCCTAATTTATTTATATAAATAACACAAAAAGTTCTTTTAGTGGAAATGTAATCGTTCCATTTCGACTTTTTTATTTTTAATTGCTTCAAATCAAGGTGCATAATTCAGTGCATAATACTCAAAGAAATTACTACTTTTCGAATATAATTAGTTTATTCATCATTTTTTTTTTTATTTAATTAGATGAGAAAGCTTTAATTAGCAATACGACGGTAAAAAATCAAATTCATCTAAAGCGCTTAAACAAATTTACTCGTCGGTGCAACTACGTCAGAATATAGTCAATTGCAGTTTTTATATCTCTTATAACTACCGAGTTCAAAGTTTGAAAGGTTTATCCGTTGTCAATCGTTAAATTGATTAGTGAGTGAAATAAAATGAAACGAACCATATCTCCAAAGACATAGTTTGAAATGAAGTGAGCTACGGATATGTTAGCTCTTCGGCAAGGATATTTATCTTCTCTGTCGCTCGCGAGCTACACAACTCTAATTAAACTCCAATAAATGTATTCATAGCTTTAACCCATCAGGTGCTGTAGATGTCTAAGCGGTGGTAATCATCATCGCTCAATCAATCTTAGCATCGGCTGGACCGTCTATACGCCAACTTGTCATAAAAAAATTAAGCAGTTCGTGTATTTGCTTAACTTAACAAAACAACAGGCCGGATTTGGCGAGACCATTTATTTTTAGTTCGCGAACCGATCGACCATCTGTCTACTAAAGGCTTGTCGTCACCCACTCGAACGCATGACACTAATTTATAAAAACAAAAGAATGTAAGAGCAATTCATTATAATGACAAAATTAATAATCATTATACTTTACTAATATGAATCACCTAATGTCATTTTTCCAGTGATATAATGTCTAATAAAAAAACATAACCATTTTTATGTAGATATTAATCGTTAATAAATATCAACAGTTACTAACTGTATATAAAGAAAAAAAAAACAATACGATGAAAATTTCTATTGGTATTGGTATTATAAATATTTGTATTGGTACAAAACCCGAGCTATCGCTAAAAGTTCTATTAAGAACTGAATAAAACTTTTGTTGTCAACTTGTCAACTACCATATCCGCTAGTTATTTAGTATACCTGGAGAACCGAGCTATTATAACATTTTTTTTTTGCGGCGAAATTTACCGTCATATTCGAATGATATTTTTCATTCCCTGAATTCCGATTATATACATATATATATAATCGGAATCTCTTTTTCTCAATTCTTATATTGAAGAATTGCTCGTTTAAAGGATAAAATATAGTCCAATACTAAATAACTAGCGGATATGGTAGTTTCCGCGGGGCATAATTATTCCGCTGTTATCATTTTTCACATAGCATGTCTCTGGCCATAAAAAGAAAACACGCAAAGTCGACATTGTCCTAAATTCGTGAACAAACGAAATTAGATAGAATGATTAGAAAGTAAATTTTAGCAAAGGCTATAAAAGTTTGAACAGTATCATTATTATTCCTAATTTTTCTTTTCATTCATGTTCATAGATTAAGTGTTAACATGTAAACTTATTTCATTACTTTATTGTTATATATTACATTCATTAAGTTCTATAATTTCTCTTCCACAAATAGTAAAATTTTTGTCTGTTAATTTTGCCTGTAAATACAGTATTTCCAGGCAAAATTAACAGATATTTATGAATTTTTATTGTTTATGCAGGTTGCTTAGGGTGTTACTTATAGTTTATAGTTGCAATGCAAAAACCCTACAAGAAATGCAAGCAGAGCCCCGAGGTAGTACGGACACTATCCGAATTCAAGTCATGGAGCCGACCCCGATATGTTTATTTATTTTTTCGATGCGTGATGAATTACCACGCGTTTGCCGTGGAGCAGTCTACATGATCATCTATGATTATATAAAAATGAATCCCTATTTCCCTTGGTCACGCCATCACGCGTGAATGGCTGCACCGATTTCACTTTTTTTGTTGTGTTTGTTATTAGCAGGAGAAGGTTCTTATGAAAGAAAAAAATTGCCTGAAAAAGTCTAAAAACAACACTTTTCTATATTCCCTTACAAAAGATTCGTAATAATACTTAAAAGTCAGTGCATTCGTAGTGTTGGGAACATTCGGTTGTCATTGGGAGCGCTCAATTTAGTTCGCAGTCTTATAGCCAACTAGTTCAATATTTTACTTCTTTTTTTTTTTAAATATTGCAGCAGAGATGATTAAAAAGAGAAAATCATTTATATAACATTTACTATAACTTTGATATTGTTATCGTGAACTGATAAAACCGTACTTAACCATACACTAAAAATTATATACTTTAATAAGAGAATAAGAGATTTCGTGTTAAGGCAAAAAATACTCGGGTCGTCAGTACTACTCCATAGACCGCGCTAGCAAAATAAAGAAGATAAGACCATCAAAAACTAGTTTTGTTAGTAGTAATAGACTAAAATACTCTTCAGTCTTCCCACCTAGGTCGTTCGCGACGGCCCACGGCACCGAGCTCGCGTGGAGAACGATGTCTCCGTACTTTCTGTAATTGCAATTCAGTAACCTTTACAATCGAGTCACATATTATGTAGAGGCTGTATGACTTTGATTTGAATTAAACAAGATTAGATAGAACTGCACCATCCGTGCTCTTAGAGAAATCAATTTCTTAAATTGAGTGGCACATTCAGAGTCTATTTATTATTATCACAGTATTTAATGTGTAAACACAATATTTATAAATAAGAAAGTTAGTCTTGGATTTTAAAGAAGACATGGCGAAACATCTTGAATATTTTTTTTTTAATATGTTAAAACACTGCCCTTACTTTAGGATAATATTATCCTGTGTTGTAAGGACGTTTTACAAACATAAATTTCACGCGGACAAACACCCAGATGCGAAACAACTATCTGTGGGTCACACAAATAGTTGTCCCGTGTGGGAATCGAACCCACGACCCCCGACGCCGTAGCCAATACTTTAGCAACTGCGCCACGGAGTCATCGAAAATCAACATTATATAATAAAAATCATTTAAAACATCAAAAAGGTGACGGTACCATTGACCGCGTCCTACACCACATAAAAAAGCAGCCCTTTATACAGCGTGTCGTTACCAACGCGACACTAAATGAACACACATATAGAGGATAACTTTTTCAAATTGTATCAAAAATTTACATTCTTTAAACATCAATATTTACAGAGTTATTAATTTTTCCAAAACAAATAATTTTAGAACATTTTACGTATAAAACTGTAACGTAAAGTTCATTTGTAAAGGTCACAAAGCATATGAATGGGTTGAATGAATTTAAAAGAGACAAAACATACTGTTAGAAGGAGAGGCTTGTAATGCGACGCTGTGGCGACGAATGAAAAAGTCTCTGAATGTATGAATCAGTCAGTTGTAGTTGTATTAGGATGTTACAAATTTTGTTTCTTTTTTACTTAATGAGTTTGTTTGAAAAATATTTGTTTTTAATTATGGATTTTTTTTTAACGTTAACATTTTTTTATGATTATTGGCAAGTAGCGTTAGACGTGTGTTAATTTATTGTCGCGATGGTAACGACACGCTGTATACGTTAAGTTGACAACTATCATTATCTGTTATAGTGGCCGCACTTTCCGTGCCCACGTTATGATGTGAGACACCTTGAATTATAATGAATATAAACTCACAGGCTTAATATAAGAAACTCGGATTTGTTTAACTCGCACATTATATGTAAAATGGATTAAGGTTGTTGACGTGGCTCGTTGGGTTACTTGGTGTCATTTCTGGCTTCTGAAACACATTTGTCGATGTTTTCAATGACAAAAATTATGACAAGAAAAAAACGATTTAGTTATAAAGCTAAATGAAGTCTTCGTCAGCTCAAACTTCTTGGAAAAATATTGTTTCGCCTGGAACATGATATAGAGTTAGTGCATGAAATGATGACAATGTAATCATCAGCATCACCATCATGATTATTTCAACGTGTTAAAATCTACTGCTGAACAAAGGGCTCCCTCACAGACTGCCACGAACCACAATCC